TGAGGTCTCACTCTGTTGTCAGGTTGTACAGTGGTACAATCATGGGTCACTGCAGCCTTGACCTCCTGGGCTCAAGTGATCCTTCTGCCTCTGCCTGCTGAATACTGGGACTACCGGCACACACCACCATGTGTGGCTAATATTTAAATTTTTTGTAGAGATAAGATCTCGCTATGTTGCCTAGGTTGGACTTGAACTTCTGGGTGTAAGTCATCCTCCTACCATAGCCTCCCAAAGTGCTAAGATTACAAGAATGGGCCACTGTGCCTGGCCTAATACAAGCAGTTTTATACAAAGACACTTAATACTGGATTCCTACAAAAAGGAAATACTGAGATTCATAAAAATTTGTTAGTAAGCCTGCCATCTACCAATATATCTTAAGATACACGTAATAAAATAAAATATGCTATTTCCACTTCAAAGCAAATAAAGTGATCACTTATTTTTTGCTAGTGAAAGCTGCACTGAAAAGGAAACCCCTGCGGCAAGGGGCGGGAGGGGGCAAAAGAACAGGCGTATGCTCTACGTACCAAGATTTTATTTGAATCATTGAGTCGACCCTTCAAGGCAGTTGGAAGTTCACCTATATTTGGTTGGATAAATTTTGCTTCATTGATAATACCTGCTACTTCATCTAGGCCTTCTTTCCTGATTTTCCAATTCTTGTCACCAATCTTAGATACCAACTCTGAAGTGATCTTATCACTGAAAAACAGAAGACAGAGCCTTTAATTCTAGACTCTAAAAAGAATAATGACATCATGTGAAGTTCCCTTTACTGAATTCAAAAAGAAGGCACCATTAAGAATACCATAAATCAAATAAACCATTTAACAGACTGGATCCTACCTGATCTCTGTCCTTGGCAAAAGGTCAACAACATCATTGCCACTGTCATCTGGTTCATCTCCATCTTCTCCTTCATCTGTACCACTTGTGCTGTGTTTGGAAATCCCTCTGGTTGGAGCAGGTGGACTTTGTCCCTGCATCTACACACAAATGAATGGGTAAGGCCAATAAACTTGATGAACGGTATGAGAGCAAACAAATTAGAGACGGTGCCTGTGTCAAACTTTTTTTTATAATGCCTACTTATGCAGTAGATATT